CCCTTTTCCTTTCACTCGCGGGCACTATAAAACTCAGATTTATGGGACATTGCCGACCCTGTGTCCCACCCCCGATTTCTTCGGGAACTGGCAAAACCTCGTAATTTCCCAACATTGGCGGAGGTACTAGTGATTTAACTCCCGGACACGGGTTTTGCATCCATGTGTATAAGCAAAAGGATTGCAACGCGTCTATGGAAAATCCTTCGCCATCTCATTTAATACATCTGAGAACAACAATTATCAATAACAAATTTTCCGCTCTTTTCCAACATGCTGCGGTCCCCCATCGAGTTGGTCCTAATTGGGTGAATTGGATGCTTTAAGCCACAGTGCGCAATGGGAGCGACATTGGCTCTTCGTTACAACGGCAAATTTCAATACTGAATCTCAGTAACAAAATCCTTCAACTGTCTTACTAACAAATCTCCTAGCTGTGGACTCTAGTCTTAGATCCGGGTTCCCTTTAAATAACAAACTGCTGCAACAATTCACATATTAAAAAAATCTTCACCAACTCAGAAAACATTTCATCTCTCAAACTACCCCTCATCATTCTCATACCAGCTACAAAGTTTCCATACGTCCGAAATCATACAAAAACCATCGGGTGGAAAAGGCAGCAAAGTAGAGGTTGAGGAGGAGAAGGAGGAGGAGGAGGAGGAGGAAGAAGAGGAGGAGGAGGAGGACGAAGAGGGGGGGAAAGAAGAGGAGGAGGAGCAAGAAAAGGAGAAGCAGGAGAAGGAAGAGCAGGAGGAGGAGGAGGAAAACGAGGAGAGAAAAGGAGGGGAAAGGGAGGAGGAGAAACAACTCACTTTGTTCAGAATCAACTCCACCTGCCTCCAAGCTTGCAAAGACAAGGAGGAGGAGGAAGAAAAGGACAGTTAATTTCCACTGCCGATACGGAGCAGGCAGCATTTTTCCAAAATTCCGAGACATGTGTAAGATCTCCCCCCAATTGTTGGCAATCCTCCATTTGATGCATTCATCAGCAGACGCCGAACAGAGAGCGTGCAGCGCCATCCCAATTCATCTCCTGAGAAGATCTGCAAGGAACAACATCCATCGACCTTGTAACGGTCAGCTGCCATTTTTATTTTTTTTTATTTTCTTACCTTTTTTTCCCTTCTTTTTTTTTCATTCTTACGCAGGGGCCACGCTTATCTTCTCTGTATCGTTCCAATTTTAACGGATGTCCCGAAGGACATCAGCTGCCATCTTTGAAAAATAAGAAAGAGTAAAAAACTTGAAAAAAGGCACAATAACCTTCTTTTGAGTTAACCACCAGTTTCCCCACTGCTTGGAAATTGGAAATTTCCAGTTGGCCAAATTTCCAAGCAGTGGGGCGCACTCACATCTTTTTGGAGGGGGGTGGAGGACGGGAATGGGCTGACGGTAGGCCCAAACCTTTTCCTCTTCCTGGCCATACCAGTTGGCCGCTTCCTGCCCAAATTTCCAGGAAGTGGAAAAGATTCGGGGGGGGGGCTACCATCAGCACATTCCGGTCCTTCAACTCCAGCCACTAACTCCGGCCGGCGACTGTGGCTTTGTCGAGCACCTATATTCAACCCCCCCCCGACCCTCCCCCCCTTTCCCCCACATCGGGGCACGCTCACAGGAGCGTCATTTTTCAACCATTGGATAGACTGTCGGTTTAAACAGGATTCCAGATCTTGGCTTCAAAAAAAAAAAAGAAGTTTCCGCCTACCGGAGGGAGTGATATGAGCATCTTCCCCTGGTAGACCAGATGCTGGTTGCTCCGGTCTATTGGTGGGGGGGAGCAGCACCTGCTGGAAACCGGGTCCAGATCTCGGCTATAACTATAACTAATCAACATGCAAAAGCTTTTAAGCCAGCTTGAACAATGCCCAATTGTGCAGGTACATTCAGACCAGGCTAGTTTTGTCTCTCAAAAAAAGTGCACACATAAAAGGGTTATTTCTCGCCTTGACGCTCTTTTCCCCACACAGAAGTCGATCGTTTCAAGGAACCCTTCCCTCCACCTGCTGCACCCCAGCAAACCCCCACCCAAAATGTGCCCAAAATCCACCGAATGGCCACAGAACGAGCCCAGCTAGATCTTCATTATATAGGCTTGGAATCAGATGTGAAGATCCATCATCGATCCCTTCCACAGCAACATCAAATACATGGGCTTCAAAGAATTAGCCTTTAAAAAAAAAATAAAAAAAATTAAACATCAATGAATTAAACGGTTTTAAACCATCTGTTGCTACTTCAGCTTATTTGTGTGGGATTCGCTGCTCTGATGGGTGCTTCCTCGCCTAAAGTCCTCCTATGCCTCTGTCAGAGAGAACGTGGACATGGAGATGGCCAGGTGCAGATCATGCACTCGGTCATCTGCATGTTCAGGTTCATTCTGACAGCCACATAGGAGCAATTAAGGCCAAGCAGCAGGTGCTGAAGCAAAGCACTCCCTATTCGAAAAAAAACTGACAACACTGACTTTCTCAGAATGCACCTGGACATCTTTGGTACTGATCATGCCCCTGCATGTCTGGCAGCATTCTGACAAATTCCATTTGCACAAATAAAGCAAACTACAGACAGATCTCATTCAAAATCTTACATCAATCTCTCCCATGCCTGCTGAACACCAGCCATCCCCCTCCACCCACCCCAACATCTTCCAGCAAAATAAAAAAAACTCAGACTGGACCCCACACTGCACCCACAATGAGCCAAATTCTCCTCCACAACTTATTTCCTCCTTTTTTTGGGGGGGCGAGAGGGGGCTGTGGAGGGGGGGCAGTGAAGGGAGGGTGGGAAGGGGGCAAAGAAAACATTTGCTCAGATCAGAGGAAGTTAATAAAGGGAAGGGTCTTCGATATTCAAAAGAAATTTCACCCATTGATTGGGTCCCTGTTACAAAATCCGTGCGCGCCAAAAAGCTTTGGTTGGACGTATTGTGCTCCCCCAGATAGACCAGGAGGTCATCATATATGCATCTGGCCCAAATATATGAACCTAGGATTACTAGTCACATAAAGTATTGAAACAGGACCGGTGGGGGTAGCTCAGTTGGTAAGGCACCCAAGTTGCTTTCAGTAGGTTGTGGGTTCAATTTTCATTGGCCTCACGTATGTGCCTTAGCATGATCGGTCCCCTGCCATCCAGAGTTATAGCGCGCTGGGCCCCCATGCCAGTGTTAGCAGAACCTTAGCCAACAGTGTTGGGTTGGGCTATAGTAGGCTCGGTGGAGGGCAGTGCTCGGCAAATAGTAATGCATTAACACTGAGTAGTAATTACGCAGCTCCTCGGCGCAGGGTTTCGAAAAGTGGCGACAGCAATGTGAGAGAAAAAAAATTACACCGACCGAGCCAGTGTAACATTCCTCACATGCAAAGAGCAAGCGGACCTTGAAAGTGTTAAGTCAGGCCTATGTTTGTGTACATACTTATCAGTGTGAATGTGTTTGTAAGTGTGTTTGTGAGTGTGTTTGTATGTGTGTTTATAAGTGTGTTTGTAAGTGTGTTTGTAAGTGTTTTTGTAACTTAAGTGTGCTTGTAAGTGTGTTAGTGCTTGTGAGTGTGTCTGTGAGTGCATTAGTGTTTGTAAATGTGTTTGTGATTGCAAGTGTATTTGCAAATGAGTTTGCAAATGAGTTTGCAAATGTGTTTGTGAGTGTGTTTGTAAGTGTGTTTGTAAATGTGTTTGTAAATGTGTTTGTAAGTGTGTACATGGGTTTGTAAATGTGTTTGTGTTTGTAAGTGTGTTAGTGTTTGTGAGTGTGTTTGTGAGTGTGTTTGTGAGTGTGTTTGTGAGTCTGTCAGTGTTTGTAAATGTGTTTGTGTTTGTAAGTGTGTTTGTAAACATGTTTGTAAATGCATTTTTGTTTGTCAGCGTGTTTGTGTTTGTAAGTGTGTTTGTAAGTGTGTTTGTAAGTGTGTTTGCAAGTGTGTTTGTAAGTGTGTTTGTAAATGTGTTCGAACGTGTTTGTAAGTGTGTTCGCAAGTGAGTGTGTTTGTAAATGCATTTGAGGGTGCGAACGTGTGTGCACACGTACATACGTGTCTGACAATTAAGCTGTCATTTTTGTTTTCGGATATGTGATCGTGAGTGGATCACATCATGTGATTATGAGTCAGATCTACCCAAAAGATACCCTATCCAAAAAACATGCCATCCCAAAAAGCACAATAATGTGACTGTACAAGGATCATGCACATGTATCGAGAAATGGTCCAAATCATTTCAGAAAGAAAGAAAGAAAGAAAGAAAGAAAGAAAGAAAGAAAGAAAGAAAGAACGAAAAAAAGAGATAGAGACAATTCAGTCAATGTCAACATCAGCCCCAGGAGCATGGTTGCAGGTACTTCAATCTTGAGTTTTGGGCCGTTTTTATCCTTGTAAACTACGGTTCAGAAGAAGAAGAAAAATTCAGATAAGTGGGAGGGATAGCTGCTCATTGAATGCGCACACCTTCCCGGAAGTGTCTGGACTGAATCATGTATGTATTCGGTCGAGACAAAGCTCATATTCGTTTTCCTTTTTATTTCCCCTTCTTCCCTCAGGTTATCTTCTTGCTTCTCTCTCGTAGCAAGAGAACTCCGTTCTTCGCCCGGCCTAGCTCAGTTGGTTGAGCACGTAAGTGGTACACAGGAGGTCGTGGGATCGATTCCCCACGTCATCCATTCGATTCCCCACGCCCCCCTGCGGTATGCTTCGGGTTCACCGGCTGAGAAAGTCGTCTTGTCCCTCCTGGCTGGTTGTGGAAGTTGCATTTGGCTTTCCAGCCTGCGCCAGGTGTTAGGAGCGTGGGTACTGCTCCCGCACAGAGCAGAGTTAGGTAGGTGCGGACCCATAACCTTCGGATAGCTTACACTCAGTTAGTGGATTTAAAGATAGCTGTATGTGGGCCAACTAGACTCCCCCTTCGATTTAAGGACAACTGCTTAGCTGGTAGACATGGGTAAGGGGTAGGGGGTAATCTAGCTGGTTTCCAGCCTGCGCCAGGCGTTAGGAGCTTGGGTACTGCTCCCGCACAGAGCATAGGTAGGTGCGGACCCATAACCTTCGGATAGCTTACCTTCAGTTAGTGCATTTAAGGATAGCTGTATTAGGCCAACTAGACTCCCCTTTTGATTTAAGGATAACTGCTTAGCTGAAAGACATGGCTAAGGGGTAGGGGGTAGTCTAGCTGGTTTGATCCTGAACCCAAGTACATACTCCGGGGTAGGTAGTGTGAGCTAAAAATTGAGAGAAGAATAAAGTGTAGTAAAAATGCAGTTGTCCCCTAGGCTACCAGCCGGGCCGCCCGGGTCACCCTATTTTCCCAGGGGCCCGGCCGCGCAAGGACTAGGGAGGGTCCCAGCCGAAAAAAAAAAAAAAAAAAAAAAAAAAAAAAAATCCGAAAAATAACTATGTTATGCAGAAAAATAACTGAACAACTTTTGCCTCAGGGTCACATCGAAATTCTTTACCAAATTTTAAGCAAAAAAATAAATTAAAAAATTATTTTATTTTTTTTTCTTTTTGGCCCAGCCGGGCAAGTGGACCCGGGCCACTCTGGTAGCCTAGGTTGTCCCCCATATGAGGGGAGGAGAAGACAGCTAGCATTTTTTTGAATGGTGCTCGCATATGGAGTTAAGAAATGACGTTAATGGATTGAATGAACAAGTTTGAATCTTAGCAAACTGAACCGTCGTAGAACTGGCAGTATCACACTGTTGGTCAATTTGCTCTTTCCTGGGATGGCCAGGCTCAGGCTCAAGGCTACCGTCTTCCCCTGAACATAACGCACCCTGAAATTGAACGTATGCAAGCTATATTTTTGGTACAGCCAAGATGGGGGTGCGTTGTGTTCGGGAAGACGGTAGTTACTCAGGTATTGTTCTGGCGCCCGGCTGGTGAAGAGGGCCACTTAGCCTGCGGCTTCCGCAGATGAGACTCGAAGAATGGGCCTTTCGTTATAGGATAATTTGGACATTGGGGAAGGGACGCTGGACCTGGTTTCCAGCAGGTGTAGCTCCCCACCAACAGTATGGAGCCATCGGAACCAACGCGCCAGCAACTTTCCAACGTTG